TATCAAAGTAATGCCTTGAATAAAGAAGGCTAGATGAAATATTATTAACGAATGAAAAAGTGGTGACACTAATTGATAAACTAATGATACTATAGGATCGGAGTGTCACGTTTTGACACAATATTCTTCGATCGGAGTGTCACGTTCCGACATAATATTCATTGATCGGAGTGTCACGTTCCGACATGGTATTATTGGATAGAAGTGTCACATTCCGACACGGTATTCTTGGATCAGAGTGTCACGTTCCGACATTGTATTCTTGGATCGGAGTTTCACGTTCCGACACAATAATATTAAAGGAAAAATATTTTGAATTAATGGAAGATACTCAGTCTCAAAGAACTCAACTCCCAAAATGGTTTGGTTTGGAGGCATGAGACCTTATGTGTGATCTTGATAACGTTAACTTAATACGTGCTTACTTTATTGTTATTGACACTTGTTCATGTTGGTTGTTGCTTATCACATGTTAAGTGCAATAGTTGAGTTCATCGTACTATTCTTTGTATATTAGTTACTATTATGGGTTGATCGATGATACTTACTTTGTACATGTTGCCTCGTACTGAGCCCTACTTGTTTTCTTCTTTGTTTTCCTTTTATGAAATGCAGCGAGTGTACCTATGACTTCTGATTTCCTTAAGCTCTAGCCAGCCTCCCGCATATCAAGTTCCAGGGTGAGTTATCCATTCAAGCTCGCTTTGGATTCTCTCGGTCATGACATGATGTCCTATACTTTTGAATACATACCATTTTACTCTTTTATTTTAGTGTGTTCGATATTGTTAGACTTAGTATTCGAGATTAGATGTCCTTGATGTGATGACTATTAAATTTTGGGATAATAAGTATTAAACTTTAGAAACTTAATTAAATTGGTTGCTTAGTACCTTTTGGATCTTCCGCATTATTTATAGTTGAACTATTGGTATATGTTGGGGTTTAGATGTGTCGGTTCACCACCTAAGGAGGTAAGTGTGGGTGCCACTCAAGAATCATTTTAGGTCCTGAAAAACTTTTTATCAGAGTATTAGGTTCGCTGATCCCATCACAGAAGGACAAGTCTAGTAGAGTCTTGCAGAACAGTACCGGGACGCCTTTACTTTTCTTAGAGAAGCTATAGTATTTTAGGAAAATTCATTTCTTTCTTTCTTTCGTGCTACTACTTGAATCCAATTGGTACCTAGTTGATATAAATTGATATCTGAACTTCTTCACTCTATTTCAAATATGGTTAGTACTAGAGTATTAGGAATCAAAATAGCAACAAGATAAGAAAATATGTCCTTTGAAATAAGTATATTTTCTCGATTGCAAAATGTGGTGGTAGTCTCATGTTGAGTGTCGATTAGTAAATCACTACTATGACATCATAGAGTGGGGATATATTAGAGAGGGTCCTCGATGCTTACTTGGTTAGAGTTAGGAACTGTGTTATTTTGTTATTGAATTGATCTAAGAAGTAAAGCAAATTGTTTGGGCTACAAAGAGATCAAATTTGATAATGTTTTTCAATTATTTAACGGGTAGAAACATGTGGGCTATTTGGGTACGATCTTATCGATAGGTATTATGTGTTCTAGTGAGGTATCGGTGTGGCAGTACTAGGGTTATGTGAAAAGTGTATGTCAATTGTCAAGTAAGAATACTAACTCCTAAAGAAGTTATTAGTTAAAGAAGATGTTGAAATAATGAGATTCAGTGTTTCATTCACATTTGAGAAATCAACTATTGTATTAATACAAGCATTTAAATTTCATTATTGTTATGAAATATCTTAACGGTGAATTTTTTTGTACAATACTAATATAATTAGGTCATGAAATGTATCTTGAGGGTTCTGAATAAGGACTGACGATTTAATATGAAGATTCAAAAGGTAGATTGCTACTAGGATGACAAGGTTATAGGTAACAAAAGTCCTATTGAGTATACTTGGGTGAACTAAATTGAAGATTTTAATAAGAAAATGCTTATAAAGTTGTGTTAGTCCCTTAAATTTGATTGGTTTACCAGAGTTTAAGGTGTCATGTCGAGGAAAAAGTTCACTTCTTGATGATGAAAAGGTCTAGCTAAGTATGATGGTAAAAAGAGAAAGTGATATATGACCTCTATGATTTATGTTTGTTGTAATAATATCGATAATTCTCATTTAGAATTAGTTTAGTGGCAACAATGTCTTGAAAGTGTTTCAGCAGTTCCGATATTGAATTTAGTATCTGCTTAAGAAGTGGACACTGTCACGACCCAAAACGGATCGCGAGTGGCACCCACACTTATCATACTATGTGAGCGAACCAACCAAGCTAAACCCCGACATTTCAACCATAAATAACATAATATAATGCAGAAGACTTAAACTCATTAATGAAAATAGATTAATTAACTTCTAAAACTCAAAACTTATCATTATCCCCAAAATCTGGAAGTCATCATCAGAAGAACAGCTATCCTCAAATTACTAATTCTAAGAGTATCTAGAAATCCAGAATAAATAAAAAAGCTAGTCCACGCCGGAACTTCAAGGCATCAACACATGAAGAAGAAGATCCGGTCCAAGCTAGAAGCGTTAGCTCACCCTGAAATTCGGTGTAATGAAGACTGGCTAGAGTTGCATGTGAGTTGAAGACGACGGTACGTTTGCTGTACTCCACAAATAACAAAGAAAGAAACATACAAGTAGTGGTAAGTACAAACACAAGTACTGAGTAGATATCATTGGCCAACTCAAAATAGAAAACAGTATATATCAGATAATATCATAAAATCAACTACAATACTCAACATGCGGCATTTACAATTACCATAGCCTTTGTCACAACACAAAGCACATCAATGAGGACTCACGCCTCCCCATCATACTCATTTGGGAATTAAGTTCATTAAATTGAGTATATTAACATCTTTCAATATTCATTATCTTTATTTCTCTCATGTCGGTACGTGACACTCCACTCCATATACTATCCTGGTGTCGAAACGTGACACTCCGATCCTTATCATACTATCCTGGTGTCGGAATGTGACAGCCGATCCATATTCTATCCTGGTGCAGGAACGTGGCACTCCTATCCATATACTATCCTGGGACCGGAATGTGGCACCCGATCCATATACTATCCTGGTGTCGGAACGTGATACTCCGATCCTCATATACTATCCTGGTACCGGAACGTGGCACCCGATCCATATACTATCGTGGTGTCGGAACATGACACTCCGATCCTCATATACTATCTGAAAGAGGGTCGATTTATTTTTCTCGCACACCACTCTAGGCAGTCTTATAGCGTCTGTAATACTTCAGCCTACTTACACCCACAGAATTGACTAAGTATAGAAATACTTAAACAGCAATGTCAAACAATAAACAGGCAGCGTTTACAGGACTAAGTCCTAACCTTTATTAATCAATAATTAATACAAAGGAAGGCTTCACAAATCAGTCTAAGGCTAGAAAAGTTTCTGTCTCCTGCCTTAGACGAATTTCCACCTTAAATCAAAATTCTGCACAATGGCAGTTACAAGCGGTTACATGCGGCGGTTACACATGACACCTGTCCGACACATGTCAGCCCAGGGTCAAAACTAACTTTCCAACAGCTATATTTCCAACAGATAGAATCTAATTCAAATTAAATTCTTATCTACACGAAATACTAATATTCTAACACTTAGAATATTTCAAGCTTCATTCCAACACTTAGAATAATCCTGCCAGCTTCCAACACTTAGAATATTTTAGTTGTCTTCCACACTTAGTTTTATTTCAGCAATTTCGGGTGAACTGCCTTTGTCTTTGACCTTGCCAAGTCTTCACAGCCTTGCTTCATCAAGTCAACATGTTGTCTTGCCAACGCCCTTAGCCCGCACGTAAGCCATGCACGTTCAAGCTGCCTTGCAAACACCCAAGCACCTTGAACTTGTGTTGCACTGTTTTGCCATCATCCATGCCAAGACCAATGCCCAAGTCCTTGGCATGTCTGCACGTAGTTAGATCAAGTAGATTGCGGGTCTAACAGACCACCCGCACCACTTGAACTCGGTGTCCTCATCGAGACTGTTTTGAGATAGTCATCGATTTGAGCATCTAACAGCCATAGGTCTTTTGCTTTCTCCCAAACAGCATCTGCTGCACTCTTGCCTTTCCAATGGACCAAGAACTCAGTCTTAGTATTCTTCTTACTCGTGCCCAAAACCCGGTGATCAAGGATCTTCTCAATTTCAGCATCATACTGTGTAGGTACTGATGGAGGAGCCCTCTTTGATCTTTTCCTATCCGGATCATCTTCATCTGCAAAGTAAGGTTTCAAGAAACTCACATGGAAGGTGGGGTGAATTTTCAACCTTTCTGGCAGCTTTAACCTATAAGCAACTTCACCCACTCGTTTTACCACTTCGAATGGACCATCATACTTAGGTATCAAACCCCGATGTCTGGTCTTACTTACAATCTGTTTCCAGATTTGTGGGGTAAGTTTCAGCAACACCTTGTCACCCATATTGAACTCAACTGAGCGACGATGTTGGTCAGCATACTTCTTCATGCGCTGCTGAGCCTTGCGCAAGCTATCTTGTGCCTCAGATAACATTTCAAGTCTGTCCCTTGCAACTCTGTATGCTGCTGGACACTTTCCCTGATTTTTAGATTTAGCAACATCTAATGGCGTCATAGGCTGTTTGCCTAAGACGATTTCAAAAGGACTCATCTCTGTTGCAGACGACTTGTGCAGATTATAGCAAAACTGCGCAGTGTCTAACAATGCCACCCAATTCCGTTGACTTGAAGTCACATAGTGCCTCAAGTACTCTTCCAACAAATGATTAATTCTTTCCGTCTGTCCATCTGTTTGTGGGTGATTTGTAGTAGAAAATTTTAATTCAGTTCCCATCATATTGAACAATGCTGTCCAAAATCTACCCGTGAACCTTGTGTCTCTATCACTCACAATGTCAGCCGGAACACCAAAGTATTTACTCACATGTTTATAGAATAACTAAGCAGCAAGTTCAGATGAGCATAACTCAGGAGCAGCAATAAAAACAGAATATTTTGAAAACCTGTCAACTACCACCATGATAAATGCTTTGCCATCTACTTTAGGGAATCCAGAAATGAAATCCATGCTTACCGATAGCCATGGCCTTTCAGGAATAGGCAAAGGTTGCAGCAACCCTGCTTCCTTTTTACGTTCTGTCTTGTCAACTTGACAAACATGAAAAGTCTTAAAATACGCCTCTATATCGTCTTCCATTTTCGGCCAAAAATACACACGAGACAGTAAGGCTAACATCCTTTCAACGCCTGGATGTCCAGCCCAAGCGGAGTCATGCGCTTCTTTCATCAAGTCTTTGCGCAACCCACCCTGATTTGGCACAACGATTCTCCCCCCTTTAAAATAGAGCAGATCGTCCTTGATCCAATACCGTCTCATTGTGCCCTCCTGCACCTGACCCATCCATTTAACATATAACGAATCATTTGCAGCACACAATCTGATTCTATCATAGAAATCAGTTTCCAGTTTTGAAATTGAATATACTGCAACAAACACTTCTTTCCTACTCAGCGCATCAGCAACCTGGTTGGGTTTTCCTAGTTTATGTTCCCACATGAAATCATATTCTGCCAGGAATTCTTGCCACCGTGCTTGTTTAGGACTCAACTTTTTCTGTGTTTTGAAGAATGTTTTGCTACATTATCAGTTCTTACCACAAATCGAGTGCCTAAGAGATAGACTCTCCAAACCTGCAAACAGTGTACCACCACAACCATTTCTTTCTCATGTGTTGAGTATCTTTGTTCAGCATCATTCAACTTTCTATTTTCGAAGGCTACTAGATGACCTTCCTGCACTAATACGCCACCAATCGGCTTGTCTGACGCATCAGAGTGTACTTCAAACGGTAACTCAAAATCAGGCAATTTGAGTATAGGTTCTGATGCAATAGCATTCTTTAAATTTTGAAATGCTTCTTCACACTGTTTGGACCAAACCCATTTTGCATCTTTCTTCAACAGATCTGTCAAAGACACTGCCTTCTTTGAGTAACCAGCAATAAACTTTCGATAATAGTTAGCCAAGCCAAGAAACGACCTCAAATCGTTCACATGACGAGGTGCCTGCCAATCAACAATGGCCTGCACTTTCTTAGGATCCATTCGAACTTGATTTTTAATAACAAGATGCCCCAAGAACTTTATCTCTTGTTGAGCAAATTCACACTTTTCCATCTTGACATAGAGTGTGTATTTTCTCAATTGAGACAGAACCAGACTTAGGTGATTAACATGTTCTTCGAACGTTCTACTATATATAACAATATCATCTAAGTAAACAACAACGAAGTCATCGAGATAGTCAAATAGTACATTATTCATTAAATTGCAGAATGTTGTCGGGGCATTAGTTAGCCCAAACGACATTACAAGGAATTCATAGGAACCATATCTAGTTACAC